TCTCCCAATTCAAGACAAGATTAGTTTGTTCACATCTCTGCAAAACTTGATCAAGGTTGCTTAAGCAATCATCAAAAGAAGTTCCATAAACGGAAAAAAACATTCATGAAAACCTCAACAATCTTTTCACAAAATTCAGAGAATATAACAATCATACATCTCTGAAAGGTAGCAGATGCATTGCATAAACCAAAAGGCATATGTCTATAGGCATAAGTTCCAAAAGGACAAGTAAAAGTGGTTTTCTCTTGGTCGGGTTGTGATACAGGTATCTGAGAGAAACCGGAATATCCACCAAGACAGCAAAAGTGTGTATGCTTAAACAATTTGTCTAACATTTGATCTATAAAAGGTAAGGGGTAATGATCTTTTGTAGTAGCTTTATTTAGTTTTTTAAAAATCAGTTACCATCCTATAGCTAGTCATAATTCTTTGTGGAATAAGTTCATTTTTATCATTAGGAACAACTGTAATGCCTCCCTTTCTTAGGGACACAATGAACAGGAGGACTTACCCATCTACTATCAGCTATGGGATAGATTATACCTGCTTCCAGGAGTTTTAATATTTCAGTTCTTACCACTTCCTTCATCTTAGGATTTAATCATCATTGATGATCAATAACTGGTTTAGCATCCGACTCCATATTAATTTTATACCGACATAGAGTGGGGCTAATGCCGTTAAGATCATCAAGAGTATATCCAATAGCAGCGCGATGCTTCCTCAAAGTTTTAATAATCTCCTTTCTTCATGCTTTGAAAGGTTAGCACTAATAATAACATGATATATCTTCTTTTCATCAAGATAAGCATATTTCAATGTATCAGGCAATTGTTTTAATTCAAACACAGGATCACTTTTAGGTGGGGGTGGACTGCCAAGAGTTTCAACAGGCAAATTGTGTTTAAGAATAGGTGGTTAATCAAAGAACGTCTTATCTATTTCATTTCTCTCATTCGAGTGCATATCATTTTCATGGTCTAGCAAATATTTTTCTAACGGATTAGCAGGAGGTATGGCAATAGAAGCAAGACCAACAATTTCATCTTTACTAGGCAATTCTTTATCATGAGTTTGTCTACGAAACTTAGAGAAATTAAACTCATGAGATATATCACCAAAGTTAACACTGACAGTTTCTTTACCACAATCAATCTTAGCATTAACAGTATTCAAGAAAGGTCTACCAAAAATTATGGGACAAAAATCATCTTGTGGAGAACCAAGAACTAGAAAATCAGCAGGGTATTTTATTTTTCCACACAAGACTTCAACATTTCTAATAATCCCAAGTGGTGTAGTAGTGTCTCTGTTTGCAAGCTTAATAGTAACATCAATGTCTTCTATTTCAGCAGGAGCAATATCATTCATAATTTCTTGATATAAGGTAAACGGGATAGGACTCACACTAGCACCCAAATCACATAAGCCATGATAACAATGATCTCCTATCTTAACTGAGACAACAAGCATGCCAACAACGGGCTTATTCTTATCTTTAGTGGCAGTTATGTGGATGGCATAATCAAATTCGTTATATTTTTCTAATCATTTTCATATATAAATTATTTTCATCCGAGTTACGGTTTATTTTATATGAATTTCTAAAGTTTTATTGAATTTGTGGAATTACTGGATTTAATTTAATTCGAAAATCATTTAACTGAAAATGCTACGGGTACACACAGATGTGTACCCAGCAATGGGCACACAGGCTGATAGTAGGCACAGTTGACTGTCGAGTCAGAAGTCAACTTTGGACCTGTTGACTGATCAAACTGACCTCTGGGGTCCATCGTGAGTGAAACACTTATTAATAGGGTTTAATTTTGTTAGTTAGCGTGTGGGGTCCTCGTAGCCAGTGGGGGTTAGGGCGTTAGTTAGTTGGGTAAACTAATTATGCCTCCTAATTAAACCTGGTGGGGGCCCGCTGGTAGTGGCACAAGGCCAACCCAGCGTTGCTTTGAGCCCACGCGTGCACAGGGGGCGAGGCCACGGCCGGAGCACGACAGTTGGGCGGCTGGCGACGCAGGTGCCAATGGCGACAATGGGCAGCAGCAGTGCGGCAGTAGCAGCAACAGTAGCGTAGCAGCAGTGATGCAGAAGTAACAGCGGCAACAATAGAAGGAGGAGCAGGTAGCAGCGTAGCACGGGGGAAGCAGCGGCAGTGGGCGAGGCCATGGCGCGCGGGGGCGCAGGCGACCAAGGCAGCAGGCGTAGCGGCGTGAGTGGGGGCCCAACGGCCGGTCGAAGCATGGGTGACGCGGGCATAGGGCGCACGCGGACAGCAGCACGCGGCGCACACAGCGTGGATGCGGAGCTCCGGTGGTGGATACGTTGAGCACGAAGCGATAGCTACGACGACAAATCGAGCTCAAGAAGAGGGGGATTCGGGAGAGGATCTCACAACGAGCTCGGATATGTGGTCGGGGAAGCCGTAGGGGGTCTAGATGCGGCGAATTTGACGATGAACGGTGGCGCCCGTAGCGAGGAAGATGAACCAAGGATGACGTTATGGGGCTCCTCGGTCCAAACCATCGTGTGTAGTCGACGAAGGCGAGGTGACGGTGCTACTGGACATCTCATCGCGGCTTGACATGTTCATTGGACGCCGCATTAATGGCGGCAGATGCAGTGACCGTGGTGTCGGTCCTTCGGGCGCGACGCGGGAGCACAATCTAGAGGCGAGGGGGAAAGGCTGTGAGGGGGGATCCGATCTAGGGTTTGCTGAGGGGGTATGGCGACTTGTAAGGTTGGGAGGGGCACGGATGCTCAACGTGTGGCGCCAACCATGGAGATGGCGCCACGACTGCCCTGCCCGCTCCTGTAGCTCGGTAGGAGACGAGTGGGGGTGTGGGCTGGGCCTTGCTGTAGCAAGTAGGCCGTAAGTGCACAATAGTTTCCCCCTTTTTCTTTTATTATTTTTTGTTTTGCATTTTATTCTTATACTAAATGAGTTTTGTTGACTATAAAATATGTCTCACAAATACTCGGTAGTGTAATGAGCTAGAGCCCCAAAGTTAAAATTTAGTTTGAAATGTTTAAATATTTATTTAATTTGAAATGGATCAAATAAATGGTGCTGGTCCAATTTTAAATAGTTTAAGGGCATTTTTAATATTCAAATAATGTTGGTTCTTACATGAAAAATACTTAGGAATTTTATGGGATATTACAAACATTTTTGTTTTCCTGTTTGAAGAAATAATAATTTGACTTGCAATTTAGATTTGAATTTGAGTTTCGGGTTAATTCTTAATTGCAATTTAACCATGATAATCATGATGACATGGCATATTAATTAGGATAATGACATGACTAATATCTAAGGGTGTCACAAATACAATAAACATTAGAAATAATTAAAAATATATCTAGATTCGTAGACCACCTAGCGACGACTACAAGCACTGAAGTGAGACGAAGGAGCGTCGCCGTCATTGCCCTCCCTCACTAGAGCGAGGCAAAACTTGTTGCAGTAGACAATTGAGAAAGTCATCGTGCTAAGACCCCATAGAACCAATGCACTAGAACAACAACTACCACCAATGAAGAGACACGTAGATCGTAAGGATCCAACCCCAAGACACATGAACTAGAGGAACGAAGACCGAATCCGAGTAGATCCACCAAAGACAACCACCGGCCGAATCCCGCGAGATCCGTCGGAGATACATCTCAACACGCCCTCCTACGATGCAAGGCACACCACGAAACGGGGCTAGGCGGTGAGAACCTTATTCCAACTTTAGGGAGCCATCGCCATCTCGTCTTTCTGAGCAGGACACAAACCCTAACAAAACTAAAAGAAATATCTAAAAACAGAGCACTCACACCGGCAAGGGTCGGTATCCACTGCGCCTCCATGGCCCTAGGGCCACGAGAGATGAGGCGGACTAGCGGCGGCACCAGCGGAAGACAAAGGAACCCCAACTTTCTCTGGAGGAAGAGGCGGCGGGTGGGAGTGCGTGCGTAGCTAGGTCTAACATGGCGTTAACTAAGGAGAAGATAAAGAAAAATCTCAATGGCATTTGACCGAACACTTGCCGAGCGTGGTGTCCGCCATCGAGAACATCGACATGGGCGGACGATACCTAAGCTACAGACGGATCCGGGATGCAACGACGATGAAGTACAAGGTGCGTGAGTGGAACAACGGTAGTACGATCAAAATTGGACATCGGCGGTGTGGTGTACGGTGGCGACGGTCTTGGTGGGTGCAAATGCAGAGCAAGAGAGGAGGAACAAAGTGGGAAAAGGACTTCAAAGGGGTGTGTGGGCCGGGTGTGCCGAAGTTTGACGTGTCAGCTGTCCAGACTCTCCCAAAAATCGCTAGTTTTTTTTTGAAGTGTGTCATGGTAAATGTGTTTTTGTCCGAAATAGTAAACGAGTCTTGAGAAAAGAGTGAGTAAATTACAACCAAACGAGGCATGTACTAGGACACGAGAATAATGCAGGCACGAGAGCAGTGTACGAAATACACACCGGCTAGGTGTGGCAATAAAACCAAGGACCATGGCTCACCATAACTGGGGCGAGTGCCATAATAGCGAGCTTAACTCCAACCGTTACCGCCCTTCATTTATGCAAACGGAGAAATCCCCATCAATCCACCCCCAAGCTAGATCGACCACGCGTGGTCCCAGTCAAGAAGCCCATATATGTACTTATAATAAATAAATAAAATTTAAAAATCGCGAGAGAAACAAACACCAACCTACCCCCCGCCCCCGTGCCCCTGTGTAAAAACCGGACAGGTGCACGCGACAGTGGTGGGAAAACCAGCGAAAAAGAAGAAGAAAAAGGACAGAAGAGAGAGAGAGAGCGAGCAGTAGCCACACCATAGTGGTGGAAAGGAAACCAGAGAGAGGGAGGGAGAGAGAGAGAAGAAACAAAACCCGCCCGATCTCCTCGCCCTCCTCCTACTCCCACTCCGATCGCTCCTGCCCGATTCCCTACCCGATTGCCGCGCGCCTCCTGGTCCCCTCCCGACACCCATGGAGCCTCACCCCGCGGCTGCAGCCGGAGGAGGAGGAGGAGAAGGGGAGGCCGGCCGTGGTGCGGACCCCGACACCGGCCTCGAAGGTAGCAGCACGCTTTCCTCTCTCCCTCTCTCCCTGTGATTATTTTGCTCGGATCTCCGCGTCCGTGCGGAGCGCGGATCTACGTGGATTGGCGTAACGGGACGAATGCGTGGCTGGCAGGGTCGATGTGGAGGATGGGGCTGGCCGGCGACGGCGGTGGGGAGGGGGACGGGGCGCGCCTGCCGGAGCGGCCGGACCAGGCGGACTGCATCTACTACCTCCGCACGGGCGCCTGCGGCTTCGGGGACCGCTGCCGCTACAACCACCCCCGCGATCGCGGCGGCACTGAGGTGACACAGCCGCTTCCTCTCCCTTTTGCGCGCTCTCCTGATCTCGCTCCGCGCGATTGGGTGAGCGAGCCCGTGTGTATGAGCGCGTTTGCGTTGGAGCCAGCTTTACGTTACGTATAAGTATTTGCCATGTGATCGATGTGGCGACACTGCAATCCACAGCGAGAATCAGATCACACAAATTACCAGTGGTTCGGGTAATGTAGCTCATCTCTAGCTGAATTGCATCTGCCGCTCGTGCAACTGTCCGCGGTGTCTTCCTAGCACTTGATCAGGCGGCGGCAGCGTGATAGTTTGGACGGTGGCGTAACTGAACCTAGGCGCCCATTGGATATCCTTTTGGAAGAGTGATTCGCTTCTCCACTCCCGCTATGCCAATCGTTTCACTGTATCAGCAGCTTTAAACTTACTAGTTTCTCCCGGCTTTTATGGGCTACTAAGTTTACTAGGTGTCACTACATGCATTTTCCCACTTTCCCATTCTCCATTTTATCTATCTTATATCATGCCAATGCCATGTTGACCATGATATACCCCCCACCCTGTCTTGGTAGTCGCATGAACTTAGATTTCTATGTCAAATGCATGGAAAAACGATATACCTCAACAGTTTTGTTCTAAATGGTTCAAATGCTTTTTGCTGTATCTGTATATATAAATCTATCTCACAGTTGTAAGTACCTTACATTTGACCCTAGTTTTGGTGGATTAAATGCTTTTTGACTTGCTTAATTTGCCAAAGATACTTCGCGTACTGCTTACCATTAGCACTTAAAGTTGACAATTTGACATTAATAAAGCTGCTTCCATCATGGGATGGTTTTCATAAATGATTTATCATGGCTTCAATACTTGCCATGTTTCCGTTAAGGAGGTCTGTTTTCTGGCATGGGCCTAGGGTATTGTTGTTTCTACTATACTACTACTTAGGCAATAATCTTAGTTCAACCTAGAACATAAACAAGAGTTTATCTCCTCCAGTTGAATTCTAGGAATCATATTTACAGTTTTGCAATAGATGACAAATGGAGTAATCACTGATTCCATTTTTTTCAAAAATGTAGTTTGGTGGAGGTGCAAAGAATGCAGTAGCATTGGACTACCCGGAGCGGTTGGGTCAACCAGTATGTGAGGTACATAAATCTAACAGTTTCAGGCTCAAATTTAATTACCTTCTAAAAAAGGCGCATCAGTCACACTCTTGAGCATGCATGCACCAACTCCTGCACACCATCTGCATGCACCCAGTTGGCCACTTACTTGCTGCTCCTTGACTGGCATACAGAGCGAACAACTAAAAATTTAGTAATGTCTGGCGGGTATTCAGCATCCTGCCCATTTTATGTTATGTCAGATGACTTGTTAACTGTTTGGACTTACTCTTTTGTATTTTTTACAGTATTACATGAAGACTGGGACTTGCAAATTTGGTTCCAATTGCAAATATCACCATCCTAAGCAAGATGGTTCTGTGCAGCCTGTAATGTTAAACAGTAATGGATTCCCTCTACGTCCGGTGTGAAAATTCTCTCCAAAAACATTGCTTCTTTAGTGAAATCTTTCGCCTAGTATCTGTATGGAAAATTATTGACACCAACGAAATGCAGGGTGAGAAAGAGTGCTCCTACTACATGAAGACTGGACAATGCAAGTTTGGTTCGACATGTAAATTTCATCATCCAGAATTTGGTGGTATTCCAGTTACTCCTGGAATTTATCCACCATTGCAGTCGTCAACTGTACCCTCGCCTCATCCATACGCCCCTCTTACAAATTGGCAAATGGGGAGACCGCCTGTAGTCCCTGGATCATATATGCCAGGCTCGTACACTCCAATGATGCTATCGTCTGGAATGATCCCCTTGCAAGGATGGAGCCCTTATCCGGTAACTAACTTGAGTTAACAAAAGTAGTTTTGGTTAAGTATCAGGTCTCAAATGCAAAAGGGAATTAAGGGTCATAACTCACATGTCATACCAACTGACTTATTTAAAAATGTAAAGCAATGATTGGTGAATATGTAAAGTGTAGATTAGTGGTGTATGCGATCATAGAAAACAATTAAAGGAAAATGTTACATAAGAATTTCATGCAACAAGATAAATATTTTCCTCCAAGTAAAAATCTTCTTTTTGATGCAGGCTTCAGTAAACCCTGTAGCATCAGGTGGAGCACAACAAACTGTTCAAGCTGGACCTATGTATGGCATAGGGCACCATGGATCTTCCTCTACAATTGCTTATGGTGGTCCTTACATGCCTTACTCTTCCTCAACTATACAATCAAGCAATAATCAACAAGAACATGGATTCCCTGAGCGGCCAGGGCAGCCTGAGTGTCAGTATTACATGAGGACAGGAGATTGTAAATTTGGCGCTACATGTAAATATCATCATCCTCGAGATTGGAGTTCACCCAAGTCTAATTATATGTTCAGCCCTTTTTGCCTTCCACTTCGTCCAGTAAGTAACTCGAACACATCTTTTGTATGTTGTACTGCCTCTGTAACTTAATATAAGATGTTTTTTGACACTGTCATGGGCTCTAAAAACGTCTTATAAAAAGCTACAGAGGAAGTAGGAACTAGTGCTGCGTGTATATTTGATTATTATAATTACCTGGAAGCCAGCTAGAACTTCCATACTTTCTGGTAATTTGAAACAAACAACTGTGTTGAAGCCTCTTATCTTCAAGAGTCAATCTATCTCAGTGATAATCTTCTCCATCCGGATGAGTCTATTTAGATCTATCTACCAAACCGATAACCCCGAGGAGTAGCATTTCACCTATTAAAGATGTGGGCTAGGTGGACCTTCAATATCGTCAGGAAATCTAGTCATGAATTGAGAACATTTGTGGTCCATAAGAGTGATTTGATTGCATATGAATTTATAATAGAATCTCAAGGAGACAAATGACCTTTTAGTGCAAAGTAAATAGGTTAGAGAGGTGTTGCATGTTTGATGGCTGAGTATGAGGCACCCTAAATCTCATGCCACCGCCCCTGACCACACAATTGCTTTGTGACTTGCTTAGCTTAAAGGTTCGTAAATATATTTTTTGTTTTTGAAAATATCAGAAGACTTGGTTGGAACTTGAACCTATCAAATAAGATGCTTGGTTGAGCATATCTCCCGAGTTGTGAAGCTGTTTGTAAAATTCATCATAACTGAATGAAGCTCTCATGAAGTCACGATAGTTCGAAAAATGTCTCCCAGTTGGTGGTTCCACAAATTATAAGTTGTTCAGAACTCATCAGGTTGTTTAGTTTGTACTTAGAAGAATACATCCCATTTCCTGATCATATGGCATGCACTCAAACTCATTCTTGAGTCGCAACTCTCAAGTGCTTATAAGTAGCTGTCTTGGTACTCAGGTTGGAAGTACATTACTTTGTCGACAATTTACTGCCGATCAACCTTTTGAGTCTCACCCGGCATTTTTCTTAGAAAACTGAATATACTTGTGATAAAAGTTGTAGATTAGTCAATCTTTCCTGTCAACTAAATTCTTGGCATAGTATATCAGGACAGCCAAGGTAGTTCATGAGACAGATATGGTAGCATAGTGGGGCCTATATTCGTTAGTCATCAGCTAAGCCTTTTGGTCAATGAAAACCATCAAATATTTTCCATGTGGCCAAGATCCTCATTGTTTAGACCCAGATCAACCAGTCCATTCAACTTGGTTGACCGAGCCTCACATTGCCCAGATTGCTGTCAAGATCTTCAAAATTTGTGGAGACGCCGTGTAATCCAGCATATGATAGTGGAACAAAGTAATATTCTCCAAATTTCTTAGCCAGTCAAGTTTCTTCAATAGAATAAACACCTTATGCTACCTTTGGATTTATATATTCCAACCAGGAGATGTTCTAGCCTTTTTTTTCCAGTTTTTGTATGAGTTAGTTTCCGTCAGTTCAGGATCTTTGAAGGTGCGCATTGATAGGTCTACCAATGGAAACGAGCTTTCAATTGCCCATTCCTCTACCTGAAGTATTCCATTCTGAGATGAAGCTGAAGAATAATCGAATAACTTGGTCTTGGGTTCATTGCCATAAAGTATACATACTTGCAGTAGTAAGATACTCCCTCCGTCCCATAATATAAGAGCGTTTTTGACACTAGTGTAGTGTCAAAAACGCTCTTATATTATGGGACGGAGGGAGTTTTTGACACTAGTGTAGTGTCAAAAACGCTCTTATATTATGGGACGGAGGGAGTAGTTCTTTATACTGCAGTATCTTAGGGGTACACTGCTGTGTAGTATGATATGGGTTATTTAACATTATGTCCTAAATAATGGAAATATTTATTAGAAAAATGTGATTAATATGTGAACTTGTATATTTGCAAATGGGTGTAACTACTAGAAAATATAGAGTAAGTAATGGGCTAGGTTTTTCTGTACATCATATCATCATTGCGTGCACCAGCAGCCAAGAAGGCATGGAAGATATTAACACTTCATATCTCCGTGCCTATCATCCATGTATATTTACTATGAATACTGTGTAAACATTGATATTATGTCTCTTAAAATACTTTCCTTGCCATAAGGTAAACATTATTCCATGTTTTGTCTTTAAAATATCTCTTGAGGCATACCAAGATCAAGAAGTGCATGCTTCAGTACTGTATCAAGTATTGACTATTCGAAATAATATTTAATATAGAGTCTACTATGGTGTCCTGTTGTAGTGAAATGCTGATATATTAAAACTCATTGACTCTCGCAAACAATGTTATTGTTTGAGTATTAGTTTTGTAAAATAAAAACATAATCAACTTTCTCTGAATATAATCAAGACAAATGCTTTTCGAGAAAGAAAATGTGTAGGATCTTCAATCTTTGTAGCAGTGGTTGAGGTGCAAGAAGTGTCCCCATCTGGCATCTTTCTAATTCTAGTCACCAGCTCAACAAAGCGAAAAACTTTAGGTCCTAATTTTGCATAGCTTAAGTGTAAAGTGTCCCATCTATCATGGAATTGTCCATTGATAACAAAATTCTTTGTCCACAAGGTTACATGAGGTGTCCAAGGATCTTAGATGATTTCCTAGATCAGTGTGATATCCTTTCTTTTAACTGAAAACTGTAGGGGAGGCCCCAAATCAGTGTGGTATCCTGGATTATTATGCAATATGCACAAGGTTTTCAGCTCTCTGAATTCTCTGTTAGGCATGACACATGCATTGTCTAGAATATAACATGGGCATAAATCATGTGGGATGCTATATTTGTTTTAATATGGTAGAAAAAGTGTAGTGGCCTTATACACTGCCTATGTAAGTATGTATTTATAGTTTCTTTGAAGTATATGCAGTTTCTTACGAGGCTTCTTTGATCATCTCAATTTTCAGGGTGCTCAGCCTTGTTCATACTATGCCCAAAATGGGTATTGTAGATATGGAGTTGCATGCAAGTATGATCACCCGATGGGTACGCTTGGCTACAGTTCATCTCCTTTTCCCCTGTCTGACGTGCCAATTGCTCCCTATCCTCTTGGCTTCTCTATTGCCACATTGGCTCCATCTTCATCTTCCCAAGATCTAAGGCCAGAATATATTTCAGCTAAAGACCCATCAGTCAACCAAGTAGGATCGCCAGTGGCAGCATCTGAGCCTTCTGGATCAATTTTGCCAAAAGGGGTTTTCCCGCCAGACACGGTGATGCGTGCTCAGGCTAATACGACAACTGGTGGTAGTTCAAGCCCTGGTGGTGGTCGCTGATTTTTCTGAGCTGAGTCGAGAGATCTCTTATCTCTCAGAACAATTTTCCAATCATTTGACACAGGTAGATTTGAACCTTCCATGATTTCCCCCCATGTATAATAACATTGCAGTGCTATTGCTAATTGCTCTATCTTGTTGTGTTGAAATCAGTTCTGATAGGCCCCTCCGATGTGAATAAAAAGCCGTGGCCTCTGTAGAGAAGGCTCGGCGAGGGTGGTTTTCTCTGCCACCTCAATAAAAAAAGCATTGATAGGTTACAAGCAAGCTCGATTCACTTGCAAATTTTTGCGCTCTTCTGTTCATCTCTGAGACTGGAAAAGGAAGGTTTTTGGATATCAGGTTCGATATCTCGCAATCGGTGTGGATACTCATATCCATTCCCTTGGTAAATAAATTCTTGGGCAAGGAAATCGCCACATGAAGAAATTACTGGGTTTTGGTCCTAGCCTTCCCAAGTCATTTTCTTTTTGTTCTGTATATTGTCATATATATTATATTATATATATATATCATCAACAGACTTGAGACTTAAAACTGCATAAGTACATATATATAGGAGCAAGGCACATTGTAATGAACACTGAACGTTTATATAATGAAGTATCGCTGTCAAACCTTATCCAGTTTCAGACTACCGGTGTCTATTCCTTTGCTAGTAGTACATGTTACCGCTTTGAACTGACAGTTATTGCAAGTGGCTGGCACTAGTTGTACTTGTAAATCATTTGATGCACGCATCACGTCTACATTATGTTCCATTTTTCTATCAAACAACCATGCTAGTTTTATTTTAGTTATTTTTTAGGTGAACTAGGGTTTTATTAAAACTCAACAGTCTACGGAATACAAATGATATCTGGACGGAACCCTAGCCACATGTGACGACCCACTGGTAAAGAAACAGCGGCCTTAGCTAGTGCATGAGCTTCAAAGTTGCTCTCCCTAGACTCAAAGCAAAAAATTACATCACTGAACTCCCTACTCCTATGCTTAATTTCACTAAGGACCGGTGCATACACAGCAGCTGCACCCTTCTTGATGTTTGTTATCACCTCCAAGCAATCTGAAGCAATTGTTAAATAATGGATATGAAGATCTTGGGCCAATGCTAGCGCTTCGTTGCATGCCTGCGCTTCCAGAGATGCAGGATCCATAAGACCATCAAACACTATGGCTGAGGCACCCAAATAACAGCCATTAACTACTGCCGCAGCTCCGTAATTCCCCTGTTTAGACAAGCCTCCATCAACATTCAGTTTTGCTGATTCACCTGCAGGAGAAATCCATTTAGGCGCACCCTGATGAGCAGATTTCATGGCAACAGGTTTCTGTTGGCGGGTATGTGTCCTCCAGGATTATTTTTTTGAGAAATATCCAGGAATTTGTTTTTCTTTTAGACAAATATCCAGGAATTTGTTGATAAAACACCAGGTTGAAATCGGGCTTTGGAATTCGTTGTCGTGGATGGTCCTCCTTCTAGCCCACCATATGGCCCATAAGGTGACCAAAACTCGGGCTAAATCCTGCTGGTTAGTGGATTCAAACAGCCAGAATAACCATAGCCTCGCATCTTCAGTCTTGTTTGAAATCACATGTTCCAGTAGCTCCTCATCTCCCAGAGCCCAAGTGCACCGTGCCATGCGATAATCAAAGAGGGAATGTCGCCATGTATCCTCCATTGCACCACATATAGAGCATGCATCTGAGTCTGCCATGTTCTTGGAGCAACGAACTGAGCCTGTAGGCAGCGATGTGTGTGCAAGTCTCCACACAAAAACTTGTACCTTCGATGTTATCTTTACCTTCTATAGAGATGTCCAGGACTTATTATCAGTTGCCGGGTTCGAGTGACCCGGGCGGTGTTCGAGCCAGTCCTCTCGATGAGATTTTATAGTGGTAATCATCCTGTACGCTGACCGTACCGAGAAGATGCCCCGTTTATCATAGTGCCAGGCCCAAAAATCAGCTTGCACTCGCGAGCTTAGAGGTATGTTAAGGATAACATCCACATCAGGGGGAATAAGATGCTCTGAGAGCAGCTGCTTGTCCCATGTTCTTGTTACTGGATCAAATAGTTCAGCGACACGGGTCGGAGGATTAACTGACTGCGCACAGATCGGTCTCAGCTTAAAATCCCTCGGCAACAATTCTCTTGTCAGATATTTGTGTCAGCTCCATTACCAATCCTTTTGATAAGTCCCAGTGACAAATTTTTTCTTCCCTCCATGATCGATCGCCAAACTTGAGATGGTGCAGAGCCCAAGGTGGCTTCCAATAGATGACAATCTGGGTAGTATCTCGCCTTTAGTACCCGAGCACTAAGTGACTCCGGCTGTTCCATTAATCTCCACGCCTGTCGAGCCAACGGTGCCAAATTGAAAAGTTCGATATCTCGGAACCCCATGCCTCCCATGAACTTTGGTTTAGACATTGTTTTCCATGAAACCCAAGCTGTTCTCTGTTGTCCACTCTTACTCCCCCACCAAAGTTTGCGAATCAGGCCATTTATATGCTCACATAATCCTTTGGGCAACTTGAAGCAAGCCATTGAGTAAGTGGGAATTGACTGCACAACTGATTTTATAAGTACTTCCTTGCCACCTGCTGAAAGGCACTTCTCCATCCATCCTTGCACTCTTTTTCAAATTCTGTCCTTCAAATATTTGAAGCATGCGTCTTTGGACTTGCCAACATCCGAAGGGAGGCCCAAGTATTTCTTTAGTAAGGGTTCGTTCTGCACTGCAAAAATGTTTCTAACCATAGCTCTAATGGGCTCAGCGACCCCTTTACTGAAGAAAATCGACGATTTGTCCGCATTAATTCTCTGCTTGGATGCATCACAATACTTCTTAAGAGATCACGAACTTTTGTAGCACTTTCTGCATTAGCTTCAAAAAACAGCAAACTATCTTTGCAAATAGTAGGTGATTAACTGAAGGCACATTTGGTGCCACGGAAACACCTCGCCCGCCCTCTTCTTGGGCTCGCAAGATACATGATAAACCTTTAGCAGCAAGCAAAAAAAGATATGGTGAGATTGGGTCTCCTTGCTGCACACCACGGGTTGGCCTAAAAGCATCAAGAATTCCACCATTAAAAAGCACCGAGAAAGACCGAAAACATGCACCTCATAATAGTATCAGTGAACCTAGGGCTGATCCCTAGTTTAATCATAACAACTCTCAAATAAGGCCACTCCAGACGATCATAGGCCTTCATCATATCAAGCTTGAGTGTGCAAAATCTGTTACCCTTGACTCTTCTTGTTTTCATGTAATGGAAGCATTCATAGGACGTAATAAAATTGTCGGTGATAAGGCGAAACGAACGCGGACTGCTCTTCTGAGATGACATTAGGGAGAATAATCTTCAGCCTTTTTGCTAAGACCTTCGAAGCGATTTTGTAGATCACATTACAAAGGCTTGTAGGCCAAACTTGTCCTAAAGCTTTTGGACTAGCTATCTTAGGAATCGAAACAATGAATGTTTTGTTGATATTCTCCGGGGAGTCCTCTCTGCTTAGCACTCTGATTATCATTCTAGTTACTTCATCACCGCATAGATCCCAATGCCTTTGGAAAAAATGCGCGGGGAAACCATCAGGGCCGGCTGCCTTTGTCGGAAACATCTAAAAAAGAGTCTCTTTGATTTCTTCTTTATTGTATTCTGCATTCAGTCGGGCGTTCGTCAGTGCATCAACATGTACATGTATATGTGACAACACCTCCTCCATCCCAATTGTACCTTCCGATGTGTACAAATCGGCATAAAACTCCTTTGTCATGTCAGCTAACTCGATTGGATCAGTGCACGCAGAACCATCAGGGCGGTCCAGTTGAGTAACTTTACTTTGTGCTCGCTAGCGCTTGCCTTTTGCTGAAAGAATTGCGTGTTATTGTCCCCCTCAGACAGCCATGTGATGCGCGATCGTTGCCTCATCATAATTTCTTCTATGTAGCAAAGATCGATCATGCGCTCTTCTATTCTTCTCTCTTCTCCTGGTCCAGTTTTCAAAGGATCAGCTCTAAGCGTGGCCAGCTGGGTTCGTAGCTGCCGAAGCTCCTGTCTAACTGACCCAAAAGTTGTTTTACCCCAGCGAGATAATGTTGCAGCTACATAGTTCAGCTTGCCAACGATGTCGGCTACAGAAACAACATCTCCATCCCCGCGCCAAGCGTTCTCGACCACCGTTTGAAACCTGCTACCATGCACACTCATATCTAAAAGGTCTCTTGAGTGCAATTCGTAGATTGCTGGCTTAAAGTTCGTTGATTAACAGAATGGTACTGTGATCACTCTTAACTGCAGTTAGGTGTTCCACGCTTGCAAAGGGAAACAAACTTGACCAACTTGGGGTGGCCAAAGCTCTGTCCAAACGTAGCCTGCAAAACTGACCTCCAACAACATTTTTCTCAAAAGTCCAATCCAGACCTTTATATCCTAGATCAGATAATCCACATATGTCAACTGCGTCACGGAAACCTACAATCTGAGAGCTGTCACATGGGTTAGGACCCATCTGTCCGTCAGGCCTGAGGATCTCATTGAAGTCACCTATACACACCCATGGCAATGTGCTTTCCCCTCTCAGTCTTTTCATGGTATCACAAGTTTTGTATCTCAAACTTCTGTTAGCTTCACCATAGAAACAAGTGAGCCGCCACTGATCCTTCCCTGCCTCTGAAATCCAAGAATCAATATGGTACTGAGAAAAGTTTTTTATTTCTAAATTGACGCCATCCTTCGAAAATATACATAAGCCACTACTACGACCTGAACTAGGAACTGCAAATCTGTTATTATAGCCTAAAACAACAGCCAAGCCCCCCACTCGTTCCTTTGCCAGCTGGGTTTCGACAATGCAAAGAACCGACGGCGCACAAGCCTCCACGAGATTGCGGAGCTCTCGGACCGTGGCGGGGTCGCCAATTCCACGACAGTTCCAAACCAAGGTCCGCATCAGTACAACCTTCGAACCACCCTTCAGAGGTACCACC